GGATTCTGAAGTCCAGAAACCTGAACTGAAGGCATCAGCAGGGCCTTTTCCCCTACAAAGGCAATAGGGAGTCTTCCCCGGGCCTCTTCCAGCTCTTGTGGGCTCCCAGCGCTCCCTGGCTGGGCGATGTCACTCGTCTTTGCTTTCACCTTCACATGACCCGACCCTCCAAGTCTCCACACCTGTGTTTCCTCTTCTCACAAGGACACCAGCCCCAAACCAAGCTCTCTTCTCTAAATCCTTACTGTATCTACAAAAACCTATTTCTAATAAGGTCATATTAATCATAGGTATTGGGGACGAGGACATGGACACATCCCTTAGGGGACATTCTTCAGATCACTAAAGTTGAGATCCATAAATCCATGAAATTGACAAAAAAAAACCCAGACACCCTTTCCTAAAGAGTACAGTAAATATAAGTAAGATCACAGATTCTAGTACCTCAACTTAGAAATTGAATAAAGGAAATAGCAAGAATAGCAGAGTTGCAATGTAAGAAGAGTACCAAGACCAAGACAGTGAGAAAAATCAAGACCCAAAGATAATTAATCGTATTAAATATGGCCACAAACATAATGAGATGCCTAAGAAGGCACACGTTCACATGTGTGCTTGTGCATATGCTCACACTGACAAACATAACCACAGCTTAATTAAGAACTTTTGTAATGAATAAATAAAAATAGAGCTTTGCCCTCTCTAAGGAAAAACAAATAATCCTGGGTCCTGGGGAACAGTATATCAAAGAACAATCCAGATGTCCAGATCAAAAGAAAAAATAATTAGAAAATTATATAAAGATGTGTAGTTTGCCAAAGGCAACATACCAAAAAACAAATTTAAAAAAAAAAGATTACTTAACAGAGGGGCACCAACTGCTCACAGAGCAGAGGGTGAGAATCAAAAGAAAGCTTTCAGCGAGGTCACCGGAAGCTGAATTTTAAGACGCAGACTATTAGATAGACCAGCTAAGACCTCTTGGGGATCCCAGTACAAAGGAAGTTTACTGGAACAGACTGAATGATGACAGCTATAATAAAGACTTGAGAGCAGGAGCTAAGAACACTTCCATACCAATGCAGAAATACTGTGGTAGCTACTTGAGAATAGTGTAATCATTTACACCCTTATCATGTACTTTAATGGTAATCCAAAGTATAAAACAATCCTGAAAATGCTACTATTTCCTATGAAGAAATTTACAGGTACTACAAGCACAAAATGAAGTCTTCGGGAGCCTAAGTTGGACCGTATCTTCCCTGCTTAGCATCAGTCTGTTTCTTGCCCGTGCCCTGGCATGCTGTGGTCTCACCATTTCCAAGTCTCTGACCAGCATGCCTCTCCTGACTACAGTACGCTCCTACACATATTTTAAGAATGAATTCAAGAATCATCTCTCTCTGTCTCTCAAGCTTCATCAAAAAACGAGCAGCTACCCAGAAGACTAGAGTTAATTCTTTCACTAAAAGAAATCATTCGCCTTCTGATTTATAAAATGGAATTTTATGCTACAAACACATTATACAAGAAAATCTTAACAGAAAAGAGAAGCAAGTTTAAAGGTGATTTTCCAAGGAAATGTTAAAGGTGAGCATCTTTTTTTTTTAATTTTAAAGAGTAAAAGAAGGATAACATAGTAATAGGGGGGCTTACCAAATTACAGACCACGTGGTAGGAAATTATCAATGGTTGTTGTTTTACATATTGTTATCTACAAGATAGTTTCCCAGGAAAAAAAACAGACAAATAATAGTGAGTTACAGACAAAAGTGGCAGGAGATAATCAATGGTTGTTGTACTATACTTTGATACCTTCAAAATGGTTTCTAAAGAAAATAAATAGAGCTATACATGAGTGACCAATTGAGTAATCATTAACTATTCTCAATGGTGGTTGTAGGAAACACATAGGAATGAACATACATCCATTTACCAAATAGCATAGGAACAATATAAACATATTGCATAGGAACAATATTAACATAATAATAATTATGTTAAAATATTAACAATATAAACATAAGCATAGGAACAATATTACAGAGTTATGGACAGATTAGTAGGAAAATAGTGGCTGCTGTAATACATGGTGGTATCTTCAAAGTGGTTTCTCAGGAAGACAGAGATACACAAAAAAGCTCTAACAAATAGTTACAGCCTAAGGGTTGTGAAAAATAGCACATTACCTCCTCACCAGTGACTCCTTTCACTGAGGTGTGACAGCTGGAATGTGGGCCAGGATTGAAAAGAAGGACTGAGAGACTTGCACCTGTGTCTAGCAACAGGCTGTTTTCTTTTTCCTCTATAGTCATGATTACCCGGGGCTCGTCCATGGAGATGACAGTCTGGCCAGAGGAAGAAGGCAGAGTATGCCCTGGGCCCCCTCATTCCTGTTGGACTAACTGGTAGGATGGGTCTGAGCTCTGGGGCCTCTGCTTCAGAGGGCAGACCGAACTCCAATGGTTGATCACATCTGCATTCAGGGCATGGCCCAGGGGCCTTCTTAAGACAGTTCCTCTTGAGGTGGCCTGGCTTTTAACACTGGTAGGAGATGAATGCAGTCATCGAGTTCTTCTTGGGGCCCCAAGAATCAGACTTAGGGTCTATTTCTCTTAGTGCCACAGCAAAAGCAGCTGCTTTTTCTCAGTCTCTTTGTTCTCTCTGCTTAGCCTCCTCCTCGTCACAGCTATAGAATACTGAGGAGGCAATTCTTACTAACATCTCATGTGACCCATCTGGGGTGAAAGCCATTTTTTGCAGCTTTTTCTCTCCAGCCTCCCAGCACACTGGGACCCCGCAACCACTTAGTGTCCTCTCCCCAACCATCAGCACAGGCAGTAGGAATCTCGGTGCAGACCTCTCCAGAGCTCCCCTTGCTCCTCCACCACAGCCTGTACAGTTAGGGGAAGAATGGCCTCCAGAGGGTCTCCCCAGGTATTGCGCAAGGTCCTCCTGGTTTCCAGCTTCCGAACAGCTCTCATGACCCCAGTCAACTAGACCTCTGAGTCTTTCGGCATAGTTTGTATTCTCATGTTCTCCAAGGCCTTGTTCAGCAGCTGCTCCTCTGCTGACTCTGGACCTATCTCGTTCTCAACAGCAGGGGCAAGAGGGACCCGTTGTGTGGCATGTATTCCCAGGGGTTTCTTCATGTCAAGATGATTCACACACGTCTCCAGGTGGGCCTATTGTGTCACTGCTTCTGTGTGCCCTGATAGTTCTCCACTGCGTGGTGGCAGCTGGTGTGAGGGCCAGTGTGTGCTGCTGCACAGCTTCCCAGGCACAGGCGCCTGCAAGGCTAGTGTCCAGCCCAAAGGCCAGTGCTCCCCGCTGCGTAGCTTTCCAGGCACAGGCAGGCCCCCTCCTGGGTGCCTGCGTGGCTAGGGTCCAGCCCAAAGGCCGGTGCTCCCCACCCCGCAGCTTCCCGGACACAGGCGGCCCCCCTCCCAGGCACCTGCACAGTTAAGGTCCAGCCCAAATGCCTGCGCTCCCTGCCCCGTGGCTTCCCGGGGTGGCTTCCTGGAATGGCTTCCCGGGCACAGACGACCTAGGGTGAGCATTTTAAAAGTGCATTTCTATTTGAGTTGCTGTTTTCCAAAGACATGTAGGATAATTTACAAACCACATTTAAAAACTACAGAAAACGTATTTTTTAGTGAAAGAATATACAATATGCATTACATGTTTGGAACCTGTTTGTTTCCTTGAGTACTGAATTTATTAGACTTTCAAAACAGAAATAGCATCCTTCAACTAGATACAAGAAATGTACTCATTATCTCAAAAGTATCTCAAAATAAAATTTATTTTCAAAGTCATGTAAGTCATTCTCTCTTATACACAGCAACAGAATATACAGTCTCACTACCACATCTACCTAAAAACTCACTAACATTCTACATAAACACAGGAATGTATAGATTGTTTAGGCCGTGAAAGGTATACTCAGATTAAAGGAAAGAAATAGTAGTTAACAAAACTTTGAAGAAAAGGTACACCTGAAACAATGCTTTGAACCTAGCATAGGAGCTATTATGTTTTATACCTGGCTGTGCCCCCACAGCTGCCTAATATTCTCACAAATGGGGGTTTGGGGGAAATGACTGGGTCCCAGGATGTGGTAATCATCACTAGATTAGTTTACTGATGAGTTTATAGCTGACCTGCTGTTAGGAGCTGGGTCCTGGTCAGAAGATGTGGGTCTAAGGCTGTGGCCCTGGAGAGTTTATCTCTTTCCTGCTCCTCCCTTCACACTCTTTCTGCCGCCCTGCAGTGAGCAGCCATCCCCTGCCATGCCTGCCCACATGCCACCTTGCTTGGAGCCAGGGGACTGTGGACGGAAGTCTCCTCCAGCTGTGAGACAGAATGAACCTCTCCTCACACACGTTATGGGTGTTGGGTAGTTTGTCCCAGCAAGGAGGACAGTAACTGACACAGAAGCATATAAGGGAGCTACAGTATTATTACATATAAGGGAGGTACATATTACATATAAGGGAGCTACAGTATTATTACAGTATTATTTTATTTATTAAAAAGCTCATTTGAAAAGTAGACTATGAATATTCCAGGTAGACACCACAAATCCCCTGGAGAATCTCAGAGTCAGGCCAAGAAGGTACATGCAGGTAGAAGCCCATGAACATAAACAAAGGTTGCCCTGTTGTTTAAAAAAAAAATTTATTTGAAAATGAGAGTTTCAAGTGCACTAAGCAAAGGCCCCTGTTGAGATTTAGTAAATAAAGACTAGATTTACAGACCATTTATCTGCCTAAAAATGAAAGCTACTTAAATTGATTATTTGTTCTTTACTGTATGGCAGAGCTAAACATAACCACTTCCTATTCCTGATATTATCAGGAACTAGTTGTTCACCTTACTACATACTAGTAACTGTTACTAACCATCTGGAGAATGTGTGTAAAAAGACAGTTAGGTAAAAGGAAAAACAAATGATCCCCTGCATCCTAAAAACATACAGACAAAGCAAACCGGCCCACCTCATCAGCTTTCTCCACACCTGTGGACTTCTGCACAGAAGAGCCTGCCCTCTCCTGGGGCTGCTCAAGGTCCTGGGGTGCAACCTGCGACGCCAGCATGGGTGGCAGCGGGGCCCGCCTCTTCTTGGGCACATCCGATGGCAGGGTGTTGGACACATACGGCCTGGAGACGGTATTGGACCTCACAAAAGTCGGGCGGTGCTTATTTATTAGAGGGGTTGCAGGAGCACTCGCAGTCTAGTAAAGGAACAAAGGCAGTGTTTGCATGTGATTTCAAGATAAAAAGGACTAATACTTTTAAAAAGACTTGGCTAATCTTAGGCAGCGCTACATAAGAAAGTACTTACTTGCTCCCGCTTTTTCTTACTGCGTTGAAAAAAGCTGAAAAACCCCTTACTCTCTTTCTCCTTCATAATATCAAGGTTTGGTGATATCTGAGAAGACTCTGAAAAAGAAGAAAAGCATCTTAGTTTTCATGAGCAGGACTGAATGCTCACTTCCAAGATTGTCTACTCTTAGTTTCCCTTTAAAAACATATGTAATGATAAAAGCTACTAATTATAGTCTGCTATAATCCAGGCTCTCTGCTGTATCTTATTAAATTCTCAAGGCAACTGGCAAATATTGTTCTACCTCACAGCAGAAGAAAGTGAAGCTTAAAGCAACTAAGATCTACAGGCATTCAGAGCCAACAATCACAGTTAGGATACACGCCCAGTTCTTCATGACTCGATCTGTGTTACAGAAGTAATTACCATTTCCTAAGTACAACTGAAAAGGACTAATTAAAGGCAGTATGACATTGCTACCATTGTCTTTACTTTGATTGTAATTTTGTCTCTGCACTAAACTGTCATGAAATAAATTATACACAGTAGTTGGTCTTCTTTGTCTGCAGGTAGCACATTAATGAATTTAAAAATCCTGATGTAAAACTATTTGGGAAAAAGTTGCATCTGTACTGAATATGTGTTGTCATGATCCCCTAAAACCGTAAGAACTATTTATATAGCATTTACATCGTATTAGGTATTATAAGTAATCTAGAGGTGATTTAAAGTATGTGGGAGGATGTACACAGGTTATAGGCAAACACTAGGCCATAAGGATTTTGAGCATCTACAGCTTTTGGCATCTGCAAGGGAAAAGTTTCTGGAACTAACCCCCATTAGGCACTAAGGGACCAATGAACCTAGCTAGTACTTTGTAAAATATTTCATAGATGTTATTTGTTTAATCCAGTTGTTCTAGAACTAGGTGTGGTGGCACACACCTGTAATCCAGCACTCTCGGGAGGAGGACCATCATGAGTTCAAGGCCAGCCTGGGCTACATAGTGAGTTCAATGCCACCCTAAACTACACAATGAGACCCTGTCTCCAAAAAAAAAAACTTAAATAAATAAATAAATTAAATAATCCAGTTGTTCTTAACTAGGGCCAATTTTGTTCTGCAGACAACACTGAATAATGTCTGGGGACAATACTGATTGTGACTGGTGCTGGAGTTGGGGGAACGTGCTAAGGGCACTACTGGGAGAGGCCGGTGCCGAGACTGCACACGGTGCAATGCACGAGACGGCACCCACCGCCACTGCAGAATTACCTGCCTCCAAACAGTATGAGTGAAGTGGAGAAGACACAACTTAATCAGAATTCAAAGGTTAAACCTCAAGAGTGCGATGATATTTTTTTTACATGCTTCCAAAAACAAGTGCCTGTGTCAATGAAGGACCCTTCACACCATGACAAATCCACCAGCACCCAGCCAGCGCGGCTCAGGGTGTTTCTACTTCTACTTCCCCTAAAAGAAACAAAGGCTTGAGAATGGCTGCTTTTCCGCTGGTATCAAGAAATGCACAAAATGAGTTTGAAATGAAGTCACCCCAGAAAGGAAGCCGTCGAAGTCCACTAGGGGTGGCGGCAAAGGCACTCAGGAAGCAGCCTGAGATGGTTTCTACTGGTGAAAATCAGGACTGTTTGAGCATCATCGTCTGACTACATCAAAGGAAACACCACAGAGGATCCACTCTATGCGCTCACAAAGCTAAAAAATAACCACCAAAACTCAGCCTTACTGTTTCCCTATGTATTTCGGTAGAATGTCAGTCCATTACTTTAAAAACTAGTGGAGAGAAAAAAAGACATCTTTACTTCCTCCAATAAAATATATGAGCAGCTTTGCTTCTGTAGAGATATCTCAGTTAATAATTAAAGAAATGTTTGCTACGGACTATCACTCTTTTTCAATTCCTAATCAAGATGCAGGCACAATTAATTACCAATAGTGCCAGGTAAGGTAACTTGTTATTTAAGTGTCTGCTAATTGAAGTATGATATACCACCTATGAAATGGATTTTTTTTTTCCTTTTTTTTCTTCTTCCTCTCCTCCTCCTCCTCCTCCTGTTCCTCTTCCTCAATATTGAGATAGTCTCATGAAGATGCCCTTATTAGGCTTGAATTTGAGGTTCTCCTGCCTCATCCTTCTAGGTGCTAAGATTACAACTAGTATCAGCTTTTTTTCCCCCTTGAGGCAAGCTATGTTGCTCAGGCTGGCCGTAAACTCTGGGATTTAAGTGATCTTACTGTCTCAGCCTCCTCAGTAGCTGGCACTACAGGTGAGTGCCACTGGTTGAGCTTCTCTGAAGTACTCTCAAAAGTGGTATCTCCAAAACCTGACCCCATCTTCATATTTAAGAGTCAATTCACAAGAACTAGAGAAAAAGAAACATGTGAAGTGATACCGCGGGACGCAGGAATAAAATTCTGAATGAGACCAACTGTAAGAAAATGACCTGGTTTCCTCAATAAATGAACTGCAAACCTCAAAGAACTGACAAGGAGTACAATTTTATTTTTTTTTTTGGTTTTTCTCCGGTACCGGGAACCGAACTCATGACCTTGCGCTTGCCAGGCAGGCGCTTTTGCCGCTGAGCTAAATCCCCAGCCCAGGAGTACAATTTAAAAACATTACTTCTACAAAGAAACATTGGATTTTATGGCAAATGACAATTTAATTTCAATGATATTGGAAACAAAGCACTATGTATCAGAATCAGATCTTACTAAAGCAGAACTGAGCAGTAAATATATATTAAATGCTTTTAAAAATGTTTAGAAAACTAAATACATTATGACAATATAGGGACTCCTCTAGGAAAGCAAAGACAGTTAATATCAATACATACAAGGAAAATTATTTTTAATAAATTAAAACCGAACTCTGATAAATATAAATAAGCAGCTTGCATTTTGCACAAAGAATGTGACCATGTTACCAGTAGTGGGGAATATGTGGACATCACTTTGTGGTTAAACATTTTTACATATACCCGATTTATTTCTTACAATAACCCTGTGAAGGAGGTACCATAAGCTGTTCTGGGCCCTGTTTCTCATTTGGGAGATGCCAGTCTTTACCCGCCATTGTATATAAGAAATGTTAAGTAGTAGTTGACCCCATTTCAACTCTACGAAACAAGGGACCAGAGCTTTGAATAACTTAAACATGGAGGTATTAAATGATAGAGCTGAAACTAGCATCCATTTAAATATTATTTACAATGCCTGTGATTTTTACTTTTTATGTGATTTTCACTTTCAGATAGAATCCTACTAAATGAATGTGGATATACAATTAAATTTCGTTAGAACAGTAAGTTGAAAATTCATATGGTGGCATAGTAGGATAAATATAAGAATATTTCAAATGTCAATTTCCAGACATCTGGTCATCCCCCACACAAATTGATCTGTCTTCACTTACAGCTCTATGAAAGGATGACCGCAAGTGAGAGTTAAACACAAGTCAAGTGAATACTGAGCTTACTTAGAAAAATAACTCAAGTACTCCAATTTCCTCTTTCTAGAAGAGAGGGTAAAAGCTACATGCAAGGCTCAAAATCTTCTGATATCAATAAAATAAAATAAAAACAAAAAAGGAGGTTAAAAACATTTACAACATCTGAATTGACATTGTAGGTCCTGTCTCTGTAAAGGAGCTGTCTTACTTTTACTATTTCAATCTCTTGAATAGTGTTCACATTTACTTCCATGGCTGAAAAGAATTTTTTTTTTTTAAATTTTAAGAATGAAAGAAGCAAAACATATTAACAAACAGACATCCATTTACAAAACAGCATAAGAACAATACACGCAATACAGAGTTACAGACAAAGTGGTGGGAAATTAACAATGGCTGTTATGTTACATATTGATATCTTCAAAGTGGTTTCTCAGGAAAACAAATAGACATTCAAAATTGATCAAATAATTAATCATTAACTGTTCCTTTCAGTAAAGCAATAGAAGTCAGTAGTAAACTATGTTAGCTATCCTGCACATACATACATAGTTTCCCCTTCTTTCTTGAAAAGAATATTAGAAACCAATGCATTCCACAGCACCTGCCTGGCAAGCGCAAGGTCCTGGGTTTGATTCACAGTACCAAAAAACAGAAAGAGAAATCAACACATTCAACACTCTCAAAATGAGCACTGAAAGATTACAGAATTTGCTTAGGGTTACACATGTAGAGAGTGGCAAAGTCAAGACCAAAAGCCAAGTACAAGTTACAAAATATTGTTTCTGGAAAGAACCACACACACAACTTTTTCCAAATTTTAAATTATTCCTATAGAAGTGGGAAGGCAATATCCAGACAGACAAAGCTATTTCCCCTAGGAGCTTGACAAAGTCAATGTAGTCTTTGAATTAAAATGCCTATTTCTGATTCTTAGCTAGTATACAATATAAGGGCCTAAGAACATTCAGCCTTGATGACAGTAGTCTACATGATAGCCTAGGATAATAAATAATCACACCATTACTCACATGGCTTAATTCTTGGAACCAAGTATTATCGGTGTGCTTCAGGAAAATTGGAAATAATAAAGAAAAAGATTGCAATAATATGTAATGTGTAGTTTATTAAGATTCTTTTTAAAGTAGGGTGGTAATTATTAGAGTAATCAATTATGTAAGCCTGCCCTTTTTAATGGGCAAAAAAAGACTTTCAGAGTGTATTATTGGACAATTTTTAATAAAGTTTTTTTTTCCAGGAAAGTAATACACTTATTATAAAATCCTATAATAAAGGAAAGTAGTTCACAGCCCTATCACCCAAAGGTAACTACTATTAAAATTTTTTATGTATTTTCTTTCAGATTTCACACAAAAAGTTTTTTTCTATGTTGTATTAAACACATTTATATGTTGTAAAAGCTACCTCTAGCATAAGTATTTTCCATGTTATTACATAGTTTTCACAACCTAATGGCTGCAAAAAAAAAGTCCTGTTGTCAGAGCATTGTCATTTTTCTAAACAAGTGCTTGGGGGAAATGATCTAAGATTCTTCCACAGTACCAAACTGTTAGCACTTGTACCCTCCCCTGCAAAATCCTAGCAAAATCATTTCTCTTCTGGAGTGTAAGGAATATGCTTTCTCACACATTTAGGATGGTGTAACTATTAAGCACTTATTGAAAGTATAATAATTAGGAAATCAAGGAGGAGGGGAACTTATAAATTATTTTTCAGAAATAAAAACCAAAGCTTTTCTAAGAATCTCTTTCAGAGTATGCATGTTAGTAATATTAAGAAAGCAGGTTATGTTAGAAGCTGTTTTTTCAATTTACTCAAGTGCATGCTACAAGCTGCAGTCTCTACTGGCTCACGTCTTACCTTGAAAAGATGATTTACTGAAGGCAGTGACAGAAGTAGCTATAGGAGGAGTGGGTAAAAAGGTAAATTGCACAGATCATGCTTGTTCAAGTACAAAACAACACTGGGTCGAAAAAGTAGTCTACGGATTACATAATGGCCCAACATAAGAATAATTTTTGAACTTCTCTGGGCATCAAGTAAGTAACTGTCTCCGCTGGACTTTTCTTTATCCTAGTGAAACAGATTTGTGCTGAATAATAAGACTGCCTTATTAGTTAGATACCATACAAAGCAACATTATCTAAGATCTCCAAATTTTAATACATTACATTGTTTCTATAGATTAAAGCCATGAGTTATTTGGAAACTTTGGGGGGTGCTGATTCATTTTATAAGCCTGTTTATTTTCATTTATTCTTAGGAAAAAAAATTGGTAAGAAAGTTCCAGCCTTTAATTATAATTAAGCCAACACAAAACCATAGTGACTGTACTTGATTGAAACAATGAATTTACATGTAAACTTTATTTTCTGTCTAAATATAAAAACCACAAGGAATTATGCTGAATGAAACCAAAAAAGCCAGGCATGATGGCATGCAAATTTAGTCCTTGCTATTTCGGAGGCTAAGGCATGAGAATCCTTTGAGCTCAAAATACAAGGAAAGCCTGCTCAACAAAATAAGACCCCCATGTCGGGAAGAAGGGACACTGAGGAGGCGGAAAGGGGAGGGGGGGACAGATAGGGAGAAGGGGGGGGAAAAAGAAGAAAAAACTCCACAAAAATTAGAATTTATAGGTACACAGAAAACTGTAAGACGTAAACGGCAGCTACAAACACAAGTTTTATTCAAATTTCAGTAATAAAATCACTTAATTTAGTTATTTATCTACATTTAGTTTTTCTTCTTACTCCCAATGGCATGTGTACAGGATCAATTAACTTGCCATTATGAACCTGAGGACACACACACACACACACACACACACACACACATACAGTGTATATATACACACACAAATAATGCACATGCATACCTGTAAGGATACATTCAGGCAAATGAGTAAAACAAAACGTCTAACTCACCTCCACTGACATCCATGGCATATAATTCTCTCAGTCCCAGGTCATTAAGAGACTTCGTCAAGTCAAGGGGTTCCTGAGATTGATAATCTTTCAGCAACAGCGTGTGCAATGGGTCAAACTCACACTTGCTACATATCGTAGGAACGAGTTCTTGAAGCGATGCATGTGGACTAACTCTCACTATAGTCTTCTGTGTTTTCTTAAAATTGATCACTACTCTCACCGTTTTCTGAAATGCAGATAAAGCCACAGTTTTATCAGAATGTTCTGAAACCAACATTCTATAACGATGTCTGGAATAAGAAGTTAATCTGCAATAACATATCTATACAACAAACAATTTCTCCCTGTTCTGGTGTAAAATTCTTTCTCAGTAATGTTATTTCCTAAATCTAAAGTAAATTCTAAGAAAAACTATTAGCTTGTTTATTAAATCATCTAAATTAAATTCACAACCCTTGTATAGTAAAATATTAAGTAGATTTAAATCCCAAAAAGAACAAAACCTCATATCTAGTATTACTACTATTTCTACATTTTTCTTAAAATGCTTTCTTTAAAATTACAAACTTTACATAATAATAATTACTCATACTTTATTCTTTCCTTTAAGCAATATTTGCATTTTGAATGGCTTGTCAGTTGTCTCAATAAAAAATGGGGTATTTTGAAAAAGAACCACTAAAATTTTGTGTTCTCCGCATTCAAAGTAGGACAAAATAAGACAAAAAGAGCTTCATAATATCTATCATATAGGTAGGAAGCTACCAATAAATGAAAAGTAGTGAGTGCGAGTAGCTTTTGTTGTTATTACTATTATTACACTTTGGTTAATTTAAATATAATAACACTACTAAAACTTTTATTTAGCTAATACTAATAATTCAAAATTACTAGGAATCTTTAAAGTATCTCATCATCTTGATGTAAATAAATTAAATCCTATACATATAGAACCTTAGCAACATCTGCGTATGCTAAGTGAAATTAAGTTTGCAGATCCTCAAAGACATTTATTCACAAAAACCTTAAGTATGATTGAGGGGCGCTGAGATTGACAATCTACATTCCACAGCATAAATAAACTATTTCCAGCATGATAAACAGCACAGATATATAACAGATAAGAACATACCTATATAGTAGCAACCCAGTATCTTAGATAATATTTAATATTCAGTCACATATTAAAGTGAAATTATGATTATAAAAAACCCTGCCAACTTTTTTGTAACTGTTTCATAATATGAAGAAAATATGAGAATTCAAATCATATGCAAATGAACCGTTATTTAAAACTATATATAAATCTTCATATATTTTATGACTTGAAAAATGGTTGAGGTTCATAACAAGAGAGGATTTCTTAATACCAAAACCTCTACTACATTCTAGCAACAGAATAATTTTATAAGGAACTCATTAAGGGGATACAGATGGAGCTCAATGGTACAGCATTTGCCTAGCATGTGCCATGTCCTGAAGCTAATCTTCCAAACTGCAACAGAAAACATATATACAGACACAAAATATGCACTTTTGTATATATAAAGAACTGATTATACTAGAATAATTTTTACTAAAAATCATACTTTAAAGAAAACTGAGCCACTGTGTAGTATAAATAATACTAATTTGGACATGAGAAAGTTACAACTGCCATTACTAGAGAGAAGCCAAAATATTATTTTAATAAATTCTTAAATACAATTTCATTAAAAATTCTAAAACTTGAAATATAACATTTTTAAAACAACTTAAAACATAGCACATCCACTCGGGTTAGCCTTTGATGTATTACAGCTCGCATTAAGGCATTCAGTATCTACAGTACGCCCCAATTCTAGTTGATCCAAGGATCAATAACCAACTACATCTTACACTAAGTGGCCTAATATAACATGGTAATCATGTTCAGACCATATCTGGTCAGAAAGCTAATTTTTATTTCAGTTATATTTAGCTTTAGACACTGACTAAAAAATCAACTTAATATCTTAGTCACTAGCATAATCTCTGGTGGAATCCTTACCTCTGGTATTATAGGTGTAGGTTTCTTCTTATCCAAATTTTTTGGCTTTAAAATCACTTTCTCTACGTCCAACATTCCTATTGGTGTGTTTGGCTTAAATTTAATGTTATTCTTCTCAGCTGATAGCAGGTCAATTGTGTAACTTGATGGATTTAAATGATACTGTGCACACAGGAATATCAACAAGTCCATCATAGGCTTACTGTAAAACAAGAGCAATGCTGATCATGAGTGTCCATAAAACGATTTTATTAACTATTAAAGTTGTTTGGAGAATTATTCTTAGGCTGTGTTTATCTTCACTAGATAAAGCAAGGCTATTATATAGTAACTGTGAAAGCATCTTAAAAATATAACTATATTTGAGCAAGCTGGGTGTTATGGCACATGCCTGTAATCTCAGCAGTCTGGGAGGCTGAGGCAGAAAGATTAGGTTCCAGCTGGACAAATGAGCAACTCAGTGTCCCTATCTCAAAATAAAAAGCAAAAGAAGATAGGTCAGTGCAAAGGTCTGGGGTTCAACTCCCAATACCAGGAAAAAAATAGTAAACAGACAAAATTATAAAAGTTAAAAAGTCCTACATAGTTTGGAAGAGACTTAGAACCTAATGTTGGTTCAACAATTATGTCTTTTATTTGCTTTATTATGTCTTTATTATTTGCTTTTTTGTCACATTATAAATTGGAGGCAGGGGGCGGGGGGAGCCACTGCCCTTTCCTTAGCCGAGCAGACATTTAGCTGAGCAGGGACTCCTTCACAAAATTGCTTGGGATAATGGCAGCCCTTAGCGTATGAACTGTGTGTACCCCAACGTTCTCATAAAATGAAGCATTTGGAGCCACCACCACCTTCTTGGATTTAGAAAGAGCAGATACACTCTCTGTAAGGAGGCCCACAAAATCCTAAAGAGCGCAGTACGGACTTCTTAAGTCAAAGAATCATTACGTAATATTTCTTAGGCTCTAGCATCACAACGAAGTATTATGGAGTAACTGTTCTCATAGATCTAACACACTACTAGACAGACTACACCAACAGTCAGCAAAGTACAACCTGCAGGCCAAAGTGGGCACAGTGTATTGTTTAAAATAAAGTTTTATTGAAACACAGCCATGTCTGTTTCTTTATATAATAGCTCAGATTACTTTTGAGTTACCATGGAAGATGGAAGAAGACATGATGTGGACTGTAAGGACCACAAAACCTAGTATTTCTACTGTCTGAAGCTTGAGAGAAAACATTTACAGGCCCTTGTGTTAGACGACAAGAAAGTAAAACAAGCAGAGTACAGTGGTGCATGCCTGCCATCTCAGCACTGGCCGAGGCTGAGGCAGGAATTTGGTGACTTATCAAGATTCTGCCTTAAAGTAAAAAATAAAGGGGTTTGGGATGTAGCTTGATATGAAGACCTTGGCCTCAAATCCCAGTGCCATGAGAAAAAAAATTAATCCATGAAATCATTGCAAATAGTGATTATTAAATACTAATGGTAATACAGGACCTATTTTCATAAGAACTTACAGACCCAACTGGAGATTCATTTTATTTAGTAGTATATATTTGTCCTGTATAATTACATTCATCTGGGGTAACTGGTACATATGCATATTACAACCTCACTATTTTTATTTGCCTTTCTCACTGCAGACCTTTCTAGATGTTTCTCAATTCTTTGTTTTGCTTTCCAAAGATGTCAATTACTGACACAGACTTCTGTTTTCATTCACTCTGTCAAAAAGTCAGTGTGATCTCTGGGTCTTTGTCAGCCTTTAAAGAACAAACACTGAAAACTCTTTTGTATCACGTGGTTTCCTTACATGCCTGGCACTCCTAAATTGTCAGTTCACACTAGGAAGAAGGCACTGAAATACCACAGAGAAAAGTCCTGTTCTCATAGGCGCAACTGTAGGTCCACGGTTTGGGGATAATAGACAACACCATTTTGCCTCACCAGGACATAGACATGTCAATAAAAATGAGACTCCAATTTCTTAACTGAAGCTATAAACTGAGTCACAGGCTCTCAGGAGCTCAGCAAGGACATGAGGCTAGGAATCTCACCCTTCAACATGGCCCCTCTCTATCCTCTCCGAGGCAGAAGATCCTCTTTGGGGCCCTCTGTGCTTTCATTTTTCCACAGAAGGAGCCTCCTTCCCAGATGGGGAAGGGTCAGCTGTTTAGAGCTGTGTGACCCTGAGGTCAGACAAAATTGTGTACAGATTTTCAGGCTCTCCCTTGTGATCAGCCCCTGCACTACCCTCACCTTCTTGGTTGACTGCAGTTCCTAGGCCACTCTAGCTCCACGGCACAAAGTGGTGTACGTCTTAATGGGCCTCTACTCTCCCTTACTATATATATCCAGAGAAGTAAATAAAAGACTAAATCCTACCATTAAAAAAGCTCTCTAGAATACAGTTCATGCTTCAAAATATGTTCCCTGTCTTCTGTTACAAAGCAATATGCAGGAGTTTTATGTTTTCCCTGAGCAGCATACTATGCCCATATATAAATGTGCTGACAGTTGCCTGAAGTTTGGTTTTGGATAGAACATTCTAATTTCATTCACAGAAAGACTAGCCTAGTGGTCACATGAAAGTTTATTTCTTGCTGATATACTCTATGGGGGCACCTTGATGCTATATATCGATTCTAGATTTGGAAATGGTAGGAAGAGTTAAAGAAAATTGGATGTCTAGGTAAATATAACATAAATCTGTTTACGTTATATACAAACTGGAAGAGGCTGAGGCTGTTTGCTGTTGTCTATTTGTTTGCTGTTTGCTGTTGTCTATGTGTAAGTGCTGGTCTATTCAGATTGCATCTCTCTTTCTCTTTACACATAAATATGTCAAGTAATAAACGGGAAAATATTAAAGGGTACAACTCCAGCACTTTTTACTTTCTAAGTACAGAGCTGTTTATAAATCTGTCAGAAATGTAAGTTAGAACAAAAGCTGTAATGTTAACTGTTAGAAAGTATTTAAGGATAAGAACACTGCTTGAGTTCTAAATTGGTGGGACTGAGAGGTTCCATACCGAGGCGCTGGTACTGGGCCCACCACCACCACAAGCCTCCAGCCTCTGCCCGGCGACCGCTCTGCTGCGTGGGAAGGGGTGGCAGAGGCCTCACAGGCGTCTTCTGAATGCTGTTCTGTGAGGACGGCGTTCCCCATCTCCTCTCCAGGCATCTACACCTCCTAATGATGACCCTTTTTAATTTAGTTTATTTTTTATGATTCAAAATGCAATCGCTGAACATTTTTGAAAGTTGCAAAATGCAGATAAGCCAAAAAATTAAAACATGATGTCGTTATTGAGCAGACAAATTACAACTATTATTAATATTGTGGGATTTAATCTAGTTGCATAAACATCAATGTATTCACATACTGATGTATGTATAGGTAGGTGTTTTTCAACACCAGTATGGCATTACACTGTCAATGCTTTCTTGTAACCTGCTTTTGTTCAGCTACGGCTTTCCAATCTTCATGACACTAAAATTTTACTGTACCTTTTCTCTGTATTCAAATTGTGCTACTCACAGTGAGATGTTTATGGTATTTTGTTTTTATAAGGAATATGTGTATGTATTGAGTAGGTATGTTCTTAAACAGTTTTTGTAAAAGCAATGATTTATATCTGCCTCTGAATAAAACATTCAAGATAAATGACCAGTAGAGTCCAGTGCACAGTGGTGACTTTCACAGTTTTCCTTTTATAATACTGTGTCCAGGGGCTGGGGATTTAGCTCAGCGGCAAAAGCGCCTGCCTGGCAAGCGCAAGGTCGTGAGTTCGGCTCCCAGTACCGGAGAAAAAAAAACAAAAAAATAAATAAATAAATATAATACTGTGTCTGTTTTCACCATTTAAGAATTTTATCAGCTTAATAATAACCCAATCTATTATCTTCCAATCTTAATTATTTATGTCACCTTCCTTAAAATGTTTCTTATAGTATAATTGTTTTTAAATTGGTATACATTTATAACATGATATTTACAGTCCTTTTGGGGAATCAGGATGCTTACATATCATATGTTGGTCATTTCTGATCCTCCCTCCCACCATGAGCCACTTATCCATTTCTAAAGAGTCCAAATTTCTAAAGAGTTTCTCCTCTTCTTTTATTTTACTCTTTATTTATATTTTGAGTTTCTCATATAAGACAAACCATACTGAAAATAGAAATTCCACTTGACACAGCTATACCTCACCTGGATACACTCCCTAAGGAGTCAAAATCACCATCATACTGTAGTAATACATGTGTACCCATGTATATAACCAGCAACATAATTCACAATAACTAAGCTCTGGAGGGGGCCTACATGTCCATCAACAGATGAACGGATAAAGAAAATGTGGTAGATATACACAAGGGAATTTTATTCACCATAAAGAATGAACTGATGTCATTTGCAGGAAAAGGGATGGATGTCGAGTGTAAGTCAGACACAAACTTCTAGCATAATTCAATAAGCATTCAACTTTGAGACTAGATTGATTTTATGTATTGGATTCACTGGTTGATAAATTCTACAGTGAACTTACTGACGTGACCTTGTTTAAACACTTGTAGGATATGGGAATTTACGGAGGTAGTTTGTGCATACCTTGCATGCTTATTTTGTTGTTGCTGCTGTTTTGCAGTACTGGGAATTAAACCTATGGCCTTTGCACTGAGCTATATCTTTGGCCCTTTTGAAATTTTTATTTTGAGATAGGGTCTTGCTAAATCACTAAGTTGCCCAGGCTAGGCTCAAACTTTCAATCCTCCAGCCTCAGCCTCTCAAGAGTGCTGGGATTATAGGTCTGCACCACCACACCCAGATTCCCAGGTAGATTTTGAAAACATAGAAGGAGAAGACTTGTCCACTTATCCACTAGATAAAACAAGAGGGCAGGGTTACCACTAGCATGTGTGTGACGAATGCAGTAAGGGCCACCAACAATTTAGGGATAACTTAGCAAAATCAACCATCTATAAAGTTCAGCTGCAGTCAATAGCCGGTTTCAAATCATTGGTTCCATCCTGATTGGAGTACTTCAGTTACTATGATGCTAAAACGTATTGGAAAGTGAGAAAACCCTAACCCTGACTACTCCCTGAGTTCTCCATGTGCTATGCACAGTCTGGTCCTCTAACCTCTCCAACCTCAGTTGCTTCCCTCAGAAACCCAGAGGTTGTGGTGGTTGTG